TTTTACTGAAAAGCAGCTTAAATACTTGCGTATTTGCTATTATTCAAGTCAAACATGAGGTCATAAAATCATTGTATTCTAATCGGATTTATTGTGGTTTAATCTGCACGCAATTGTAGTCATCTGAAACGTGTTGGAATATACATATCAACAACAATTTTATTAAAATATAAAAAATTAATAAAAATTATGTTTAAAACATTTTTATTTTTAAGAGAAATAAATTGATTCTGCTAGCACTTCTATAAATAAATTTTTTTTCCAACTGTTCAATGATGAGTTAAGTTATTATATGAAAGGAATTGGTATAGGTATATAATATGATATAATACCTCAGTTGAACTTATAATGTTAGCCTTACTTATCTTTTGTTATGTAGATCCAATATTTTAATTTTAGTATTCCTATCTAATATCTAGTACTCATATTGGACTACCCTACGGTTTAATCTGTAGTATTACTACGGGTCATTATATATGCTCACGTGAGTTTTAGTGCTCAAAGCTTTCATTATAAACTATCCTAACTTTGTCTCTTTAGATAACAGTATCTTTCACTAAGCTTGTTGATTTTGTGTTTAATATACATGAATTTTAAGTCGACTATATGGATTCGTTAGAGACTAAAATTTCTGTGTTAGAGTTGATGAAAGTTCTCCATAACTGTACTTTATATATGCTAATTGCCTTTTAAAAAACTTTATAAATGTTGAGATTCTTTTGTAGAGTTGAATTGAGGTATGTGTCCAAGCATCTTATAAGTTCTTTTTATAATTTATTTAACTGATATCTTTTTGCTTTGTATTGGTTTTTCCAGATTGAACGACTATCAAATTTGATTAAAAAATTAAATAAGATTTAATTTGAATTTCACAAAAAAGTTATTATTGATTTTTTTAAATATTATATTTCATTTTACAAATTTATTAATTTTTTTTAAAGTAATTTTAAAAATCGTTATTGGCATATTTTTCATTAATTGAATTCCTGTCCAAATTTGTTTTTGCAACATTATTCAATCTGTACGAATTCCGAGCGTAATTATTATAATTATATACAAAATTTCGATGCGAATTTCGATAAGATGTTTTATAAGAAATTGCTTAATAATAATAAAAAAATTTTACAAAAAACGTAGCAAAGTAAATTGAGTTGCAAAAATAATTTACACACAGTCGAAGCTATCGTGTTTTCTATTGAAAATGGCTTTGCATTTCGCATTAGCAATGCGAAAGCAACTGCAATTGCAATATCAACAATAGATAATCAGCAATACACGTAATCAGACAGTCGTAAAACAGAATATTAATATCGTTAATTCACAGGCAGTCAACCTTAATTAGGTCAATATTTAAAAATTAAAAATTACCTAATTGTTTTTAAAGGCTGTGTAGCATATGAATTTTTCATTACAATTTTTCCAATGCAAAGCAATATACATACTTTGTATTTGATTTGTGCCACTTCAATGTAATTTAATAATTGTTTTTTACAAATATAGATATATTTTATAAAATTTCATTCTTCCTACTAAAAGTACATTTCAAAAAACCATTTATGTAAATTTATTTGAGCATCTTTAGCCAATAAAGCAAGACTCTACATTAAAATGTTAAAGATCTTCAATCCCAGTGTTGCATTTCTAGAGATATGAAGAATTGTAAGCAATGAATCAATCATAGAGTTATCTTAAACAGATTTAAAAGTACCTGACGTAGAACGTCCGCATGATCAATTAAAGTGTTTAAGTAAAAATATACTGTGGTCGGGGAAAACGTTTGTGTAAGTGCCGTAATTTTTCTCTCAGAGTAACAAAAAAATACTTGCAACTTACAAAAGAAAGCATATGAAACAACAGCAATGCTGTTCAAATCTTCAGAGTTAGGTTTAACTCGCAAAAAAATTTACGTTTTAAGTTTTAGTGCAACCAAATTCAAAAATCAATCTATTGTGAATGTTAACTGGAAATATGTTGCAAACTTCCCGTCATCCCTTAAAATCATATAAGCATTTCATCAACAAATAAATTACAATATTAAGGCCGTGTGCAAATTCAAGTAAATTGAGGTAAAGTAAATTGTAATTTCCTAGGGATTTTTAGTACTGCACTTATTTACACTTATTTGTTACACTTATTTATAATTTTTCTGTTAAAAGTTTTCAAATTTATTTATTTATTTATTAAACATCTTATAAAATATTTACAATGGTAATACATAATTTACCTAATTTTTATCTAATTTATCCCACTTGAAATTCTGGTTAATACCAACATTCGTTGCCATACTGACATAACTTACTATTTGCTTCAATTTACCATCAATTTACTCAAACTCGCACAAGGCCTGAAGCTCTTTTTAACAAGAATTGCATTGAGCTATATATGATGTTATATCGATTTCGTGGTACTGATTTGGCATCGCTGTTAAAGTGACATACCAAACCAAACTGCATCGGAAACTGTTTAAAGTTTAAAGTTTTTGATCAAAATCTTTATCACAAGTGTTGTTATATACATTTACATACATTTAATTTTGGAACCATGGAATGAGGAACAATACATATATATCTATTAAACCCTTTATATGTATATTTATATTAAACCAAATATATATGTACATATATAAACAGAAAAATTTTAAATTTTTTTTAGAATTACCATGCATATCTTTTTTTTTCTCTTCCATTATTTCATTATTAAGAGTTGAAAAATTTCTCCTAAATTTGTGTTTACATCTTAGTAATTTTGAATTAAATTTGTTTAAATTGGCCATTATATGTTATTGATGTTACTCGATTTTTATTTGATCTTCTTTTGATTTAATGAAATAAAACACAAAATTAATTCACTTAACCATTTAAGTGTTTTAATGTTAAATAAAAATAAAATAAAAATCTTAAATGATTGCTTTGTCAAATTGATTGTATTTGCCTGTGAGCATTTTTTTTATAAATGAATTCTTTTTCAACCAACATTGTTTCGCCTGAAGACATTTTAGTAAAATACAATACGAAAAACATGAATAATTTATTTTTAACTTAAATATTTGTATCTTTAAATATTTGCCAATAATTCAGATTCTTTAGTCTTCTACAGATTTGAAGAAAAGGACGTTTAAGCAAACGAGAAGAGAAAGTGCTGTTGCTGCGAGTTACTTATTAAGGTCTATGAGGTGTCATCGATTTCAACAATCAAGAGTTATCTTGACAGTTTATAAGTTTAGAAAAAATATTTTATGCATGTGTATATAATTTTATTTCTTTGTAATCTGAGCTATAACAAACTAAAGTATCTAGTATCATAAAACGAAAAAATTTACAACAATAAAAAATAACATTCAATTTCTCGCATTTGTAACTTATTTTATGGTTCGTCAGTCTGCGTCACACTATTGTGGGCTTAGCGAACAAACCTTCAGTAGCTGAAATGCTAAAATCTATGCAATTCTTAAGTAGTCTTTTAGGAAACCAACCAT